GGGTCTGCTGCATAGCGCCTTGTGGCGCCTGCGTGCTGCTGCAACCTCCGAGGGCCTACTGGATTCGAGGGCCACAGAAAAAGAAGTTTTACTTTCCAACCCGCTTGTGGCGCTGGCGCATATTGATGGTCCTCCTTCACTGATTGGCCGCTCGCGAGGAGGGCCAGGCGCAAACGCTTCCGGGGGCGAACACCCTTGGTTCCGGTTGGGGCACCCCAGGGCGCAGGGCCGCTGGAAGGCTGCGGCGGACGAGTTTCTCACTTGGCCGAGAATGAGGAGTCCACGCCGTCTGGCAGTGTCGCGCACGGGTTGATTCTCGCGCTTGTCCCGCCAAGGGTCCTTTTCCCCTTGGTGCGTATAAATTATGAAAGCGTGTGCTGGAACGAGCTGCTGCTTGCGGCGCTGGCCCTTACACTCCTCTTCTGCAGCTGGGTCGTCACTGCCCGTTTGTCGAGGGACCTCTGTTTGCCCTTAGGGGTAGGAATGTCTCCTTGGCCGATTTTGGGAAGGCACCTCTGTGCCTCGCATCATGGCTGTCTTTCGCCGTCGCCTGCAACATACGTTGCTCGCCCTTCACTTCCTCGGGTGGATATTGCCCAGTGGCGTTTCTAGCTTGCCATGGCCGACAAACGGTCACACGAGACTGTGGAAGAGTGAGACTCGCATGGCAATGCCTGCCACGGTGATCTCTGAGGGCCCTTGGAGTCGACTCAGGGTTCCAGCATTGCTGGGGGCATCGATGTGGTCTTGGCGGCAGCGGATTTGCCATCTCCGTGTTGTGTCGATCATCCTGGCGTTGCTCTTGTTCGCTGTCGAGGGAGTCGGGTTTGTCCCTCGGGGTGGGATTGCTTCCTTCGCTAGTTTTGGGTAGGCACACCGGTGCCTCGCATCATGGCTGGCTTCAGCCATTGCCTGCAACATACGTTGCTCGCCCTTCACCTCCTCGCATGGAAATCGCCTTCAGGCGTTTCTAGCCTGCCATGCCCGCTATGCGGTCACACCAGGCTGTGGAAGTGCGAGACCCGCAAGTCAATGTCGTCACGGTGATCTCTGCCAGAGCTTGCAGCCCACCCAGGCTTTCAGCTCACGCTGGGGACATTGTTGCGGTTATTGGCGGTCGTGGACTTGCCATCTCTGTGTCGAGGCGAGCACCCTGTTGTTATTCATGCCAGCACTTTTGCCGAGAGCGGGTGGCCCACGCCGTTTGCCAGTGTCGCAGACGGACCGCGTCTCACGTTTGTCACGCCTTGGGCCCTTTGCTTTGAGGTGTGCCGGAGCGGGCTGCCTGCCTGCGGCAAAACTTGCACTCCTTCTCCATCTGCCACCTATGCCATGGCCGTGGACTTTTGGATTTTGGTGTGCACGATCGTGATGGAACAAAGCACAGGGGCTGTCCGTTGTCTGGCGAGACTAGAACGGCTGCCGGAGCTTGGTTTTGGCTCCACCTGTTGCTTTGGGCGGCTCAGGGCGACGGCCCTTTGTTGCTCCAGACCGGTCGCATGAGGCTCCGTAGTTTGCTGAACGGCTACCACCGGCAAAGCCTGTGCGCCGCAGCACTTGTAGAGCTTCGCCCTCTGTTTCACCGTTTTGTCGAGTCTTTTGTCTAGTTGGTAGTTTGTTAGTTTGTCGGGACCGAGTGCTACAGCCGTAGTCGACGAGGCCCAGTCAAGCCAAAAAAAAAAGGTTCTCAAAAGAAAGCCGGTGTGGAGTGTGAAAAGGTCAGAACTTCAGAGCTCGATACCGCGCTGACGTCCGAGAACAAGCCTGATGGACTACTTGATACTGGTGCTAGCCATTCAATGAGGCCGGCATCTGAATGTGAGTACGGTCAAGGGTCCCCAGTTTCGGTTACTTTGGCGGGATGTGAAGGTTCTTCGGCAGAACAACCAGGGGACGATCTTGGTGAAGGAGAATCAAGAGCCGATCCAGTCCATCGTACCTCTCGGCGCCATCATCCAGGAGCTTGGCTACACGTTGCACTGGAGTCCGACCCAGCTGAAGCTCACGCATCCAGTGCGCCGATTCGTGTGAAGATCCACAACAATTGCCCTGAAGTTGCAGCATGCGATGCTTTGGCTATGATCCGCGAGTTGGAGTTGAAGCAAGTGCAAACTTTGAATAGTCAAGTTGACACCTTGAGGGCCCGGTTGGAGGTCTTAAAGAAGGAGGACGAGCGTGACTGGTGCGAGCTGAGGGGTGTGGCAAAAGAAGCGTCCTGCTAAAGGCCCTGCTCAAGTGTTCCTTTACCAAGACGTTGCCCTATGAGATCCAGTCGATGTTGCTTGAGGACTTTGATTTGGACGTGGTGGGAAGACCCTGCTGGAGGTGGATATGAAGTCCTCAAAGTTGTTGGATATCAATGCCGCTTCTGGAATATACAGATTCCTTTTGTGGGCGGCAGCGAAGGGGAAGGTCACAGATATCGTTTCGTCAATGCCTGACAGGTCGTGGCCGACCTCACGGTCGAACTCCTCTAACAAGGATGAAACCTTTATTTCCAAAAGCAAATTTCGTTTGAACGAAATTAGTGAAAACTTTTACTTTGAAATTTTTCCTGCTGTTCGGCATGACTCTTCTTTTGAGTGCATGACGATCATAGCCTGAGGTGTTGTACGATGTCTTTGTTGCCGTGCATGCATCCTCAAGCTTTTCGAGCAGGAAAATTTTTGTGAGCCTTGAGATCCTTCTGCTGTGGTGCCGTACACCGTTGCCAGGGTTCCCCCGACGGAATAGTGGCTTGAGGGCTTGCTCTCGCTGCAAGGGGAGTGAGCACTGGTAGGTGTGGCAGGCCACCCGGCAGACACGTGTAGGATCTTGCTAAAAGGCCCAAGGTGCTAACCCGGTGCTTCTAGTGGGTGGGGCGGGGCGTCGCATGGATACGAGGACACTCTTGATGTGAACGCTGGTCTACGGCCCCTGCCGTGAAACTCCTTGCTGCGTCGTGTGGTCGCTATGGGGGCAAACAAGCCCGACTTCGCAGAGGAGGTTCGCTCAGCCTGGAATTCCTTGCGTCCTCAAGAGCCCGAAGACCCCTTGAGTGCTTTGCTGCCATCCTGTGACTTGTTCAAAGATTTCAGTGCTTCATCCCTTTGCAGACCCGCTGCTACAGATCGCCCGGTGGATGTGGAACTTCGTAAGATTCTGCAGCCGAGCCTTGCTGGCAGGAGGTTATACCTGCAATGTGTGCAAAACATTGAGGTTTTGTCTTGGAAGGAAGCTTTGGATTGTCAAACACAGAAAGCTATCAAGAGGTGGTATAATTTGGTCTTGCTTTGGAAGTCGGAGCTTCTGGTGGTAAAGCAAGTCTCCAGTGCCACTGTGGTGGAAGGCATGGACATCTTGGCTGATTACTTGAGACCAAAGGCTCCTAGTACTTTGAACAAGAGGGCCTCGTCTCTTTTCTTGCTTGACAAGTTGCTCTCGGAGGAAGGGCTCCTTTTCCCTCCTGACGAGCAGCATTTGTATGATGCCTTGTGCAAGCTACGTGCCAAAGGTAAGGCCCAGTCCGGACGGAAGGGCATCCTTGAAGCTTTGAACTTTTGCTACTTCGTCTTGAACATTGAAGAGTGCGAGGAGCTGGTTTTTAGCAGAAGGTGCCAAGGAGTGTGCTATGTTGAGCCGCGTGCGCGGGTCAACCAAGCTTCGCCTTTCTCCTTAGAGGAAGTTTTGGAGTTGCATGGGATAGTACACCAGGCTTCTGACGACTGGGATGCAGTCTTTGCTGGAGCAGTGTTGACCGCCATTTACTTGAGGTCACGATGGGCTGATTTGCAGTGCTGTGAGGACTTACAATTGGACCGCGATGCCGTGGGTCGATTGTGTTACATCGATCTGATCACCGGGCATCACAAGTCAATGCAGTCGAGGCAACATCGACACCAGTTCTTGACTATGACCGGGCCGTGCGTTGGGGTCACATCGAACCAATGGGTTGAACGTTGGCTTTGCCGGTGCGAGGCCGTGGGTTTCAAGCCTTGCACAGGTGGATGGCCAGTTATGCCCGCGCCTGATGTTACGGGACGGCCGACGGTGCGTCCGCTCTCGTCAGGTGAGATGACAGCTTGGATCAGGAAACTCCTTCCGGGCGCGGCGGAGGCCGACAGAAAGCTGTCCAGCCATTCTGCGAAGTGCACGTTGCTTTCTTGGATGGCGAAATTCGGAGCATCCCAAGATGTCAGGGCGTGTTTGGGATATCACGTGGGGACCAGCAAGACTGTTTTCCGCTACAGCCGAGACGCGGCCGCAGGTCCGCTTTATGAGCTAGGCCGGATGCTGCAGTGGGTGAGGGATGGCCGACAACACCCGTTCGGGGAGGTTTACATCTGCAGAAGAGCTTGAGCAGGCTTGGTGGGACCAGGTGAGGGATTTGCCTCCCTCGAGTGAGGGGAGGAATCGCGATCTGGAAATCTCGCTACCTGAAGACATGCAACCTCAAGCAGATGGCTTACATAGTCTCGTCGAAGGATTGGGTGGACGATGAAGAGTCTGAAGAGGCACGGGATGCCGCTAATGAAGATCCTGACTCTTCGGCAGAAGGGGCCTCTAGTTCTTCAGAGAGCGATGGGAGTGGAGCGGGCCCCAGACCGCCGCGGCTGTTGCACCCTCCTTCAGCACCTGAGGGAACCAGTTTCGTCAGGCATGCAAAGTCCAGGATCTGTCACTTGAAAAAGGATGGATATGTGCGGCGACTGATGTGTGGAAGGCCGCTCTCGCAAGCATATGTTGCCCCGGGCCTAATGAGGTATGATACGGGAGTGTGTAGCCAGTGTATGAGGTCGGCAGCTGCTGGCAACTGAGAAAATCGGTTCTCTGTCTAGTGAGCTGTACTGCTTCGTTTGAGCTGAGGGCGCCGAGGGAATTCACTTGGTGAGTTGTCGTGGGCGTGCTTGCGGTTCAACTTGAAGCTTTTGTGATCTCATGTTGGTAGGCACTCGCAGTCTGATTATCACATGAGGGCATTGCACTTTTTGTTTGTGGTATCTGCTCAGTTTCTCCGCGCGATGGCTTTAATTGACAGTGAGGCTTCGCTCAAACAAAGGTGCCTGCCCGTGGAGGGGGATGACTCCCTTTTCGAGTCTCTAAAGGCCAATGGAGTGAAGACGCTGCGTCAGTTGGCATTCGCACTGGGGAGCCCACAAACTCCACCGTCCGATGATTCTCTGAAGGACCTTGCGGCTAAGGTTTACAAGTGTGCCGAGGGTACTCAGCCTACGATCGGACAAATTGCAAATGTTCGCATGCTTATCTTCGAGGCCTCTACACTTGTAGTGGCACAGTTGCGAGCACAGGCGACGGCGGATGATTCCGATCTTGCAGGTCGCAAGCTGCCGCATGTCGAAAAGCAAGCGCGTTTGACCTCGCAGAAGGCCCGACTTCCCGGGCTGCTGATAGAGGGAGAGCTGCAGCCCAGCTACGCGCTGGTAGATGCTTGTGCCCTGATGTCAGAGTCGAACAGCATTACTTGGATCAGCCCCTCGCGTTGCACTAAGCGTGATGCTGAGGTGCAACAGCTAGGGAAAGAGAAAACCTCATTGGTACAAATTGAGGCAGGCACCTTGAAGGTCAGTTCGAGCAGCAAGTTGCCTGATGCTGATACAACCACTGCCTTGCAGCTTCTGTATTGCTTCCAGAGGCGAGGGTTGGCATTGGATCAGTGCAGCCTCATCGGCTGGTCGGACCATGAGTGGTACGTACAGAGCCTTATGTCCTATCTTCATGGAGAGCCGGTGTCAGGAGCCAGGCCCGCGATCGCCCAGGTCATTCGGGCAGACCGGGAGGCTTGGACACTGATGAGCCGTGAGATCGAGGGACCAATTGGGGTGAAGGATGCGGCTGGCGAGCTGGTGATGGCGGCTGCTTTGAAGCGGTTGGCCAAAGACCCTCGCGTAGTCGTTCATCTTGTTACGGCACCGCAGCCGCAGAAAGTCGCTCCACCGCCTTCCATCCCTACCGACTCGGCTGCTGCTGCAGCGTTGGCTGAGAAGGATACCAAGAAGAAGAAGCGCAAGCGTCTTACCGGCCTTGTACCGGAGTCTTTGAAGGGATGTGTCACCAAGATCAAGGCCGGGCCCATTTGTTGGGCTTTTAACCTTGCCGAGGGGTGTTCGCTTGAAACCAAGAAGGATGCCCATGGAACAAAGTGTGCAAAGGGATACCATGTTTGCGCCGGATGCCACAAGCCTGGCCACAGCTTTCCAAACTGCCGGAAAGGAGGCTCGTGACAGGTTGAGGAGACTCCCGCTGCCTCGAGTGAAGCTTCGCGAGCCTCGAGTGATGTGGAGTCTCTTGCCGCGTCAATTTTGCAAACGCCTGCTCCTTTCGATAAATCTTCGCTGTCGCAGCTGATTGAGCTGCTGCCGATGCAAAGCCCCCCACGGGGGAGTGTTGGACGCTCCTTCGCTGCCGGGGCGTATGCAAAAGGGGGTCTGTATGGCCTTCACTCAAATACCAATCTTTTCCCAAATGTGTGCGCTGTCTTTGCGGCGCAAATCCGGAGTTTGGCTCCGGGCGAGTGCTTTACAAGTTTTATTATTCTAGATGACTGTTCCGCCGAGGTGCATCGCGATTCCAACAACGACGACTCCCACTGCAACATCCTGCTGAAGTTGTCCGAGTTTCAGGGCGGGGCCGTTTGGGTAGAGGGTGATGGTGACATTGAGGTGACTGATCCAAAGGGACGCGTCTTGAAGGGTCATGAGTTGTCTTGGGAAAACAACAAAATCACTTTGGATGCGAGGAACTTGTATCATGCTACACTCCCCTGGACGGGGCGACGACTGGTGCTGGTAGGATACCACGTCAGGGACTTCCAAAGACTGCCGTGTGACGATCGCCAGAGGCTGATTGACATCGGCTTTCAGTGCCCATCGAAACACGCGCCTTCCCCCCATAGGACCCTTGGGTTTAGTTCCCCCTCTTCGGGTGTTGCTAGCGCTGCCACTTCAAGTGCTGAGACCAGCTCTACCCTCGAAGTGCCCGCCAAGATGCCTGGAACAGGGTGTGGTTCTAGCCCAAATAGGCCCGTCGCTCCGCCCGTGCGGACGCCGATCAAGCGTGATCTTCAGGAGAGGTCCAGAAGCCCGGTGAATGCCGATTCTCAGGCAAATGTAGGCCATGTCGGGGACTACCTTTTCCTTGAAGTAAATGGTCGCACTGCCGATCTGCATCGTGCTGCCCGAGCTGCAGGCCTGCGACATATACTGTGCAGTGCGCCCCCATCTTTCGTGCATGGGGTCAGGTGTCTACCACTTGACTTGGGCAACGACTTGGAGAGCTTCCAAAAACTTGTCGAGGCCGAGAAAAAGCGACTCGCTCTTGTCTGGTGCGAGCTGCCGTCTCAACCGTGCTCCTCTTGGGCAGCAAATCTTTGCGCCTTGGGTGAGCTTGCCGCCAGTCTTGAAATTCCCTTTGTCATAGCGGGTTCTCCAAAATCGCAATTTTGGGATGATCCATTCGTCCTTCAGCTGATTCAAAGTTTCCCTTTGCAGTTGCACCGATGTGACCTGTGTTGTCATGGTGACGGCCGCCCTCGGCCTTACCAAATGGCCACTGCACAAGGGGATTGGTCAGCCTTGGCCCTCAAGTGCTCGGGCTTGCATTCACACGCACCGTGGGTGCCGCGAAAGACTGGCGATCCGCCTCCAGGTTTGCCCAGTCTTTTCTGTCAACGTGTCATCGCCAAAGCCAAAGCTGCCCTTCTCCAGTCAGGAGTTTGTGAGTTTGGCACGGTTTCTCAAACTCGAGAGTCCGATTCCACCTTCGATGGCAGGTTGGCGTTGAACGCCTTGCCGCGCGGCCGACGCAACCCTGCTTTAGTGCAAGAGTTTGTATCCTTCAAGTTCGTGGCTGTGCCTGCTGACCCGCCGTCGGCCGATGAATCTTTACTTGCTGGACTGCCTAAAGGAGCTCGGGTCTTGTCTCGCCTGACCTTTGATGGGGGCTACGAAGAGGCTTGTAAGACCTTGAGCATATCCTCCGGTGAAGTTTCCATTGCAGATGGCAAATCAGAACTGCTTGAAGGTGAGTTGATTAGAATTGGCCTGCCTTCCGAACCCAAAGCCTTCGTGCAAAGAGCAGTGCAAGCCGGCCACCCTAGGGACGGAAGTGCACATGTCTCAAAGCTTGTCGTAAATGCAATCAAAGCGAACTTCAGCGACCCGCCGGCGCAAACTGTCACCTCTCGTGCTGCTGCTCTTAAACATTGGACTGCACGAGCCAAGCAATTAGAGCAGAAAGAGGAGGAGTTACACCGGAGTTTGCCGGAGCACCTTCGTTGTCTGCTGGAGGGCAAACGGTTGCTCTTGTGGCAAGAAATGCACGAAGCAGCTGGATCTCCAGATGACCAGCTAATCACCCACATGTGTGATGGATTTAAGTTGTCTGGTTGGTTATCGCAGGGAGGGCTTTTCCCTCCGAAGGTTAGGCCACCCTCCTTTTCGGTTTCCACCCTTAGTTGCTTAGCAAAAGGTCTGAATCAGTCGACGATTGCGAAAATGCGTGTCCGGCAGGATGAAGACTTGGAAAAGGCAACTTGGCAGGAAACTGAGAAGGAACTGCAAAAGGGTTGGATTTTTGCTGACACAAAAAGTTGCATAGAGCTTTGCGCTCTGGCCCGCAGATTTGGAATCAGACAGCTTGACAAAGTGCGTGTCATAGACGATGCCAGCATTTGTGGCATCAACGCTACCGTTGGCTTGAAGTATGGTTTCCAAATGCATTCCATTGATAGATATGCTGCGTGGATCTCCAAGGCGCTACGCATCAATGAGGGCAGACTGCCTGCCTGCAAAGGTCGTGTATACGACCTTAAGAGTGCGTACAAACAGTTTGGAATCCATCCTACAGACAGGGAGCTTTTCAGATTTGCAGTTAACAAACCAGGAGAGGCGGAGCCCATGATTATGGGAGCAAACTCCTTACCGTTCGGTGCGGTGGGAAGTGTTGCTGCTTTCCTCCGTATCTCGTTGAGCATCTGGCTGATAGGAGTGAGGCTGTTCAGTATCTTCTGGACCGCATTTTTCGATGACTACGGAGTCACGACTCGCGATGAGCTTGTTGCCAACACAGACTCTTGCATATGTGCCATTTTTGATCTTCTTGGAGTTGAATTTGCTCGGGAGGGCAAAAAGGCACCACCGTTCTCACGAGACTTTAAACTGCTTGGAGTCAGAGTCGATTTGAATGATGCACCTCGGGGGATTGTGCGAATCGGCAACACTGCCGAGCGTCGCGAAGAACTGAACGTGTTCATCGAAGACATCTTGCAAGCCAATTGTCTCGACCTTAAGACCGCTGAAAGGCTCCGAGGCAGGTTGGTGTTTTTCGAGGGGTTTGTTTTCGGGCGAATGTCGAATTCGGCCATCCGAACTGTGGATCGAGCGGCCAGGGCGGGACTCACTTCGAAGAGGCTGCCCGAGGATGTTAGAAAGAGCCTCGTTGTCATTCGCGAGAGGCTGAGGGTGGCTGAGCCTGTGACCATCGCTACCAAAAACCATCACTCTTGGCTTATCTTCACAGATGGAGCCTGCGAAGGCGAGAAGAAGCTAGGATCCATTGGAGGAGTGATCGTGGGCTTGAGTGGCCATCCGATATCCTTCTTCAGTGAGCAAGTCCCACAGGATATCATGAAGATCTTGTTGAGCAACTCGCAGAATCCCATTTTCGAACTTGAACTTCTGCCGGTCCTAGTTGCTTATAGGCTCTGGGGCCAGTGGTGCAGATTTTCTCAAGCCGTTTTTTACTTGGATAATGAAGGTGCTCGCCATTCGATAATAGCCGCGGGAGGAGGCGCCGATCTCGCTCGTGTGATTATCGATGGCATCCTCTCGAAGGAAACTTCCCTTCAAATCCACGCATGGTACGCCCGTGTACCTACGCATAGCAACATTGCAGACTCCCCGAGCAGAGGTGAGTACGAAGGTCTCTTGAACATTGGATGCTCAAGGCTTCGCGTCGACTGGGATGCGGTGGCACGGCAGTGTTTTCCATTGGGGTGACTCAGACTGCCAGCACCTTGCCCCAGCTGCGAAAAGATGAGTCCGATTGCAGAGAGTCTTCATGTTTACTTTTTATATTGGAAATAGTGGATTGTTGAATTCATACTTTTTGATATTCAACTTTCACATATTCCTTTGAAGTGTTCACGGTGCTTCGGAAATAAGGTCGAACTCCTCTAACAAGGATGAAACCTTTATTTCCAAAAGCAAATTTCGTTTGAACGAAATTAGTGAAAACTTTTACTTTGAAATTTTTCCTGCTGTTCGGCATGACTCTTCTTTTGAGTGCATGACGATCATAGCCTGAGGTGTTGTACGATGTCTTTGTTGCCGTGCATGCATCCTCAAGCTTTTCGAGCAGGAAAATTTTTGTCCCGCCCTCCCACCCTTGGGCAAGTGCCCACCCAGTCGGGAGAGAGTGGGCCTATCCCTGAGCCTATGACTCAGACTGCCAGCACCTTGCCCCAGCTGCGAAAAGATGAGTCCGATTGCAGAGAGTCTTCATGTTTACTTTTTATATTGGAAATAGTGGATTGTTGAATTCATACTTTTTGATATTCAACTTTCACATATTCCTTTGAAGTTTTCACGGTGCTTCGGAAATAAAGACACCGACCCGTGGGTTTCGGGTATGAGGCAATCTTCCTTTTACATGGGAGGTTTGGGCCATGCGGCAAAGAGACCAACAACAGTTGGGACCAACTACTTGATGATCAACCAGAACGACGGGAACTATGAGTTTGGTGATGGTTGTGTTCCTCCTGCGTTGTTGTCGCGAACGGCTATGAGACGGTGGTCAACGGGTTTCAAACAGCTTGTTCTTGAAGCAGTTGTTCGTCAGTGCGATTTCCAGAATGAAGACCCAGACGGACTGGCGGAACTCACCGCAAAGATCGGGAAGCTGTCTAAGGACCAACAAAGGGCCTGGCGTGAACACCTTCTCAACGACCATCAACCCTACAGGCGAGATTGTTCTGTATGTATCAACGCTCAGGCCAGCGGGTACAAGCATCAACGACAACGGCATCCTCATTTGTTTACGTTGGCTCTGGATGTTGCTGGACCTTTCAAGGTGAAGGGCAGGGATATGGACTATGATGATTACCGCTACGCTTTGGTTGCTGCTTATCGTTGCCCCAAGGAGTACTTGAGTGCTATGTCAATCCCAGAAGTTGATCGTGAGTTGTATGTTCCCGATGAGGAGGATATCCCAGATGGAGAAGATCCTCTTCAGTTGGACGATGTTCTGGCCGCTGAGGACTCGAAGTTGGATGGTGGAGAGGAGATGGAGTCCACAGATGAGGAAGAAGGAAAGAAGCTCGAAGAGGATGTTAAGAAACTCTCTTCTCCTCGGGAAACACGAACCATCTACCTCACCAAACCGTTGAGGAGGAGGACTACGGCTGCGGTTTTGGAAGCGTCAAAGGAACTTCTTCTTCAACTGAAACAAACTGGACTTTATGTGGAAGCCATTCACACAGATCGGGCGAGAGAGTTTTCCTCGAAGGTCTACAAGTCCTGGGCTACCGAGAACAATATGCGCCGTTCACGGACTGCTGGGGGTGATCCGTCTGGAAACAGTACTGCGGAGCTGGGAGTTAAGTGGGCAAAGAACAGAATGAGGGCGTTGCTGAAAACAGGAGGAGCAGCTCCAGCTGATTGGCCCATGGCAATGCATCATGCTACTTCCTCTTTGTGGTCGAAGGCGTTTCCCCACAGCTCATGGACTACCCCACCGGCGACTACGTTTGGGAATGAAGTTTGGTTCAGGGCGAAGGTCTACAAAGGAACCAAGGAAAAGAAGTGGGACGCCAGTGGAGCCAGGTGGAAGAAAGGGTGGTACCGTGGACCTTCCACGGACGTTAGCAAGGGTCACCTTATCCTTAGACAGGACGGAGGGCTCACCGTTGCGAAGAGTGTAAAGTTCAACGTGATCGACCCCGAGAAGGACCTTCGTCATCTACTACCACCGGCGACAGCACTAGGAGTTTCTCTTTCTGATGGAGAAGATGATGAGCCTCAGACAAAAAGGCAGCTGGCCGAGGAGATTGAGTTTCTGGCTAGGAAGCTACTGGATGAGGAGAACTTCTCCTTGGAAGAGGTCCTGGGTTTGTATAACAAGTTAGAGGAGCTCGGAGACACTGATCTGAGGATTGGAAAGAAGGAAGCGGTGACTTCCTGGTACTCTGGTGCCTTTGTTCATGGAGGCTGTGCTGGGATAAGGAGGAATTCCTACGTCTACCCCCAGACCACAAAGTACCTTGTTCAAGTGGCGAAACACTACGCGCAGGATGAAAGTTTCTCTGCCCTTGGCATAGCCAGGAACGCAACTCTGGGCTTACATCGAGATGTTCACAACTTCAAGAAGTCCAACAATGTCGTTGTGCCGATCACTTCGTTTAAAGGTGGATCCTTATGGAAATGGGACCCTGACGTTTCGGAGGATCAGAGTGTCCAAAAGGAGCTACCGAATGGGCAGGTCGTAAAGGGATCAACGCATGAAATGGTCAAGGGCGTGCCGGTGAAGTTTGCCCCTGGACAATGGCATGAAGTCCAACCATGGGAAGGAGATCGAGTTGTTCTTCTACTGTATACTCCGAGGGCATCAAAGTTGACAGACAAGGACGTCGAGAGACTTGAGGACATGGGTTTTCCGGTGAACCATGAATCCTTGAAAAAGGAGACCGATGAGGCGGATGAAGAGAGTTTGGAGATTGAGGAGGAGATCCAAGTCAAAACTTTGCATGTCAATCCCTCGTCTCCAACAACGGCTTTTGTGGAGTTGGATGATTCCGACATCTTTGACGGAAAGAGGACAACTACAACCACTCATGGAGGTGAGGCTCGAAAGATCCTGAAGAAGGCTGAGGTGCAGTATACTCCGAACATCGAGACTATCATCGAGGACCATGTTCAGAGGAACACACCCTTGGATGTGACGCATACGGTTAGTTTGCAGGAAGTCAAGAAGAACCTCGACAAGTGGAAAGCCTCGGCCATCAAGGAGTTTACCAACTTGAAGGATGCAAAGAACGCATTTGTGATCAAGAAAAAACATGAGCTACCACCAGGGTGCCGGATTGTTCCTTGCAAGGGTGTTTATACAGTGAAGCCGGATAAGAACTCTTTGTTTCGTCGCAAGACACGGTTTGTTGCGTGTGGAAACCATGTTCCAGAAGGTCAAGAAGGAATGGACTTGTTTGCTACTGGCCTGGATGCAACAACGTTGAGGACAATGCTCGCCTACACCATAGGGAAGCCTTGGAAATATGGCACCACTGATATACGACAAGCCTTTGTCCTGGCTCCGTGGTTGGGCTTACCGGTGGCACTGCAGCCTCCAGCGATAGCCTATGAGTTGGGATTGGCCGAGCCAGGGGACTACTGGTTCGTGACTATGTCAATCTACGGCCTCAGGGAAAGTCCAGCTCTATGGTCTCGGTTTAGAGATGAGCAGCTGCGAATGGCGAGATGGTTTGCGGAGGTTGAAGGCCAGATGGAAGAACTAAAGTTGGTTCAAATGATCACTGACGACCAAGTGTGGAAGATTGTCAGGGCCAGTGGTGACCAGGAGCCGTTGGGTTATCTCATGGTCTACATAGATGACTTGTTGATCAATGCCCTGCCTACAGTGATGGACACGTTCTTCGGCTGGGTCGCTTCGAGATGGGAATGTGACAGCTTGGATGTTTTGGAAGTGGGCCACCCTATCAGATTCCTGGGTATGGAGTTCCACCTTGTTGATGACGGGGTGGAGCTTGCTCAAGAAGGATTTGTACGTGAACTACTACGATCTCACGGACATGACGGTTCAAGGTCTAAGACTCCGGGTGCGAAAGAAACCATGGTGTTGACCTTGGAAGAGGAGGAGGCTATGATCCTGGCGCAACCTGTGGATCTGGAAGGAAAAGAGGAAGTTGATTTGTGTGACCTCCTAAGGTTCCCAGTTGTTGATTTGAAGCACTTACACTTGCTTTGGAAAATCTTGCAAAGTCTTGTTTTGCATGTCATGTGAGTACGATTTGTTTTGGCATGGTGAAAGCTTGGAACGAAACCATTTCGCATGTTTTCGTAACCTTGTTTTTGTCGGTCTGTTGGTCGGTCGGTCGGTCCGCCTGTCGGTCGTCCCGCCCGAACCTCAGAGTGAGCTTTGCGGACGCTTGGAGTGTTTGTGAAGAGTCTCAAGCCTGTTTGCTTTCGCCAGAGTTACAGCGTGATGCCTAAGAGGCATCAGGAGCCAGTTCTAGTGTTTAGAGAGCTGAAGCCCAAGTTCGCTGTTAGTGCTCACGAGCTGTGAAGTGTTTGAAGTCCAGAGAGCTGTGTACTGAAGCCTCAAGCCGTGCCGGGCTTGGCTCAAGACTCGGACTGCTGAAGAACAGCAGAGTGAAAAGTGTGGAGCGTGCCCGCTCTGTCTGAGTGCTGTGTGCGAGAGGCCCAGAGGCCCCGAAGGTTCCCCAGAGGTCCCTCGGAAACTAACGTGGTAGCGGAGCTTCGTGCTCCAGAGCCATGGCAAGCCATGGCCCAGGTGGTGCAGCAGGGAGAGACCGCTCTCCGAGAGGGAGGAGCCGTGACTCGAGTGGGAGAGCTAGTCGTTTGAGTTCTAGTCTCTCTGCCAGGTCTGGTTCGGCGCCAAGACGCAGTGCTTCAGTTTGGGAACGCCACCACAACAGCCTCCTGCGCCAACTGTGCCTCAACAGTTGCCAGTGAACCCTGGAAGCCTTGACGACAACACTGTGAATCTGTTTCGGCAGATGATGCAGGCCCAGGACGAGCAGATCAGGGCCCAAGCGGCCCAGGTGCAGCAGCTCACTAACCTGGTGAAGGACCTGGCAGTGCTTGGTGTCCAGAACGCCAGCCAGACAAGTGCCAGTGCAGCTGCGACCGCACCTGCAAGCTCTTCCGGTGACACCTCTGGTCCCGCGCCAATGGAAGTTGACACGGGAATCCGCTCTAGAAGGGCGGAGAGCTACATTCCGACTCTGCCTCAGCTGAACTTTGCC